AATAATAGCTGTCAGTGTGTTTAATATAATGATATAACAGATCCTCACGTGTCATTTGCACAATCTCATCTGCACATGAAGTTTGAAATACCAGGCACTCTACTTTGTGGTCTATGAATTAAATACACTTCTTTCATAATAGGGCTTAACTGATATTCAATTTTCATTTATTGACTTTGTAATTAAAGTGTTACTAAACCCACAACAGTAAAATCAGTCTGTATATCAAGTAACTCAAAAGAAACAACGCTGTGAGAGTGGTTAAGTTAACCACTTCCCGTCCGGCCCATGTATATAAACAGCTGGATGGGAGCAGTGCCAAAGCAGGTTGCCGTTTATAAATGGCGTCCACATTAACTGCCTGTGCGCACTCCATGGGAGTGAACAGCACCGCGATCCGGTGTCCGCTGTGTCCAGAGGAACACCGATCGCTGTACAGGACCTCTGTGTGAGGTCCCGATTCATGTGATACCTGATTGACCAATCAATGATCACATGAATAGTAGTAAGCAAGAAGGCACTTCCTGACATCATTGCTTACTACTTGTGAAATCTGTGAATGATCGCAGAGGCCAATCCGTGATCACATGAATTGTAGTAAACAAGATGTCACTTCCTGACATTATTGCTTACTACTAGTGATATCTGTGAATGATCACAGAGGCCAGTCAGTGATCACATGAATAGTAGTAAACAAGATACCACTTCATGAGATCATTGCTTACTAGTGAATTCTGTGAATGATCACAGAGGCCAATCAGTGATCACATGAAAAGTAGTAAGCAAGATGGTAATTCCTGACATCATTGCTTACTACTTGTGAAATCTGTGAATGATCACAGAGGCCAATCAGTGATCACATGAATAGTAGTAAACAAGATGTCACTTCGTGAGATCATTGCTTACTAGTGAATTCTGTGAATGATCACAGAGGCCAATCAGTGATCACATGAATAGCAGTAAGCAAGATGGTAATTCCTGACATCATTGCTTACTACTTGTGTAATCTGTGAATGATCATAAAAGTGTATCACATGAATAGTAGGAAACAAGATGTCACTTCCTGACATCATTGCTTACTACTAATGAATTCTGTGAATGATCACAGAGGCCAATCAGTGATCACATGAATAGTAGTAAGCAAGATGGTAATTCCTGACATCATTGCTTACTACTTGTGAAATCTGTGAATGATCACACAGGCCAATCAGTGATCACATGAATAGTAGTAAACAAGATGTCACTTCCTGACATCATTGCTTACTACTAGTGAATTCTGTGAATGATCACAGAGGTCACATGGTACAAGGCTATTCACAACAACATTGTACCATGTTACAAGCTGTGACCCCATCACAGCTCTCACCGTATTTCTCAATGGCTGCAAGAATGCAGCCAGAGAGAAGAAGAAATTATTGCATTTACAGCCTTTATGGGTTTAAAAGCAATCAGTGTAAAAAAAGGAAAACAAAATCTTCATCACCCCCCACAAGTAGTACAGTGTCACTATGGTGACACTATGGTGACACTGTACTGCTAGGGTGATGGCATGTTAAAAAAAAAATATAAATAATAATATTAACAAATAAAATAAAAATGTAAAAAAAATTTTTTTTTTTTTTAATTATAATTTTTGGTTATAAACTAATTTGGGTTATTTTTTTTTTTTACTAAAAAGATAACTGAATACATTTTGGCCAAGATTTATGAAGAAAGATTATTTATTTGCAAAATGTTATAAGAAAAACACTTTTTTTTTAAAAAAATGTTTGGACTTTTTAGTTTACAAAAAAAAAAAAATAAAAATCCCAGTGGAGAATAAATACCACCTAAATAAAATTTTATCTGTCTCAAAAAAATGATAAAAAATTCATATGGGTACAGTGTTGCATGACCACGCAATTGTCATTCAAAGTGTGATAGCGCTGAAAGCTAAAAATTGGCCTAAGCAGGAAGGGGGTGAAAGTGTCCGGACTTGAAGTAGTTAAACCTCACATTGAAGTGTAGCTTTATTACAATCAAATGATCAAAGGGTATGGTGGCCTGGGTAGGGTGGAAGACCCGTTCCCTCCTTGGGTGTAGCAAGGCAGGGCAAAGAAAGTGCTCCTGTGCACTGATGGAAAGCCACGAGACCGCGGCGTCCCAGAACTGATGTCACCGCAATCTCAGAGGGAGGATCCTGCCTTGTAGATGAAGTAAAGCACGTTTGATATACTCACTGTGGAACCTAAGAGGTTAATCCTCTGCATTGTGTAAAAATGCTGTTTGATCCTCACCTTCTTCCTGATAAGACGTATGGTGTGGAGTCACTCTGCACATGCTCAGTTTGGTGTGTATTGCTAGAGAGGGTTTTTTGTTTTTTTCAAATTGGAGAGTTCATGTGATCAGCACAAGGCCAATCAGCAATGTCTAGGCAGAGGTCAGGGGTTCTGCATCTTCCTAGAGCTATAGACAAAAAAACCTGAAAATTTTGAGAAAAAACAATATTTTTGACTTTTTGTTAATAAATATATGGCCAATAAAAAAATAAAAAAAAATCTAATTTTGTCATACATTTAGGGCAAAATATATTCTGTGACACGTCTTTGCCGAAAAGAAATCACAATACGTGCAAATTAATTGGTTTACGTGAAAGTTATAGTGTTTACAAATGGCAGTATATATACTGGAATTTTTTTTTTTTTTTAACTAGTAATGGCAGCAATCAGCGACATATAGCAGGACTGTGGGACTGCAGCGGGCATTCTGACACTGGGTGGAACTGACTTGGTGTCACTGACATTCCCAATGACACCAATACAGTGATCAGTGCTAATAAAAAGCACCGACAGTGTACTAATGGCACTGGACAGGAAGGGGTTAACATGAGGGGTGATCAAAGGATTAACTGTGTGCTGTTTTGCATTATGTGCTGTGTGTGCTTTCAACTGCAAGCACACTGCATTGTATGGCTCTGCTATGCAGTGTGCAGGAGCTGACAGGGGAGAGAACCGTATTGTTTACACAGTTCTCTACTCCGTCAGTAATACTCGGCGATCACCGGGTGCCGCCGAGTAATCACCGTCCAGGACCTGGTGATTGACAGCTGAGGCCGCGAATGGCAGTGTGTGTAAGGCGCACATCCCCTACCTGGAAATGCAAAATCACATATATACATGTGGTTTTGCACACCCGTACCGCCCTGTTGCAGGATTTCTGCTATAGGGCGGACAGCAGTGGTGTATTAAGGTTTTGTGCTGCCCTCAGCAACACAAAAATCGGGTGCCCCCCCATGGAGAGAGCCTGACATTGACCAACAACACCCCTGCCGATCCCCCACCTAAGAGAGCCCTTCCACTAACAACCGCCCCCCCCTTCCCAGCGAAAGAGAGAAAGACACTCACCTTCAAAGCTCTTGACATCCCCGGGAACATGAGTCGGGCTCTCCATACACCATCAAGCAGCCTCCCTCAGATCCCACCTGATGACGCATGTGTCCCTTTTTCCGAGGGGTGGTGCTGCCTCCCTGAAAAATGCTGCCCTAGGCAAATGCCTTGTTTGCCTTGTGGTAAATACGCCCCTGGCATACAGGTTAAAATGAGTTGGTTAAATTCTTGTACTGCAATGTGGATTAATTGCACTGTTTAATTTTGTTGCCCTGCAGAGTTGATAAGGGTTAACACTGTTGGCCAGGTTTTCTCGGGCCTTTTGGGAGGTACTGCCCTCTGCAGGGGGAAAACAGGTAAAGAGGGAACTGCCTTTAGGGCACGCATTCGGTTCTGCTCCATGCATGGGAGAGAAGGAAGTGAGAGGAGTGGTGCTGCAGCTGCGACAGCACTGGCATGGTGAGAGGAGTCAACTACGTGTTCAGGGATGGGGAGGACATTTAGTGGGGAGTTTTGATCTTATTGTAGGGAATTCATTAACCACTTCCAGTCCGGACACTTTTACACCCTTCCTGTCCAGGCCAATTTTCAGCTTTCAGTGCTATCACACTTTGAATGACAATTGTGCGGTCATGCAACACTGTACCCATATGAATTTTTTACCATTTTTTTAAGACAGATAAAGCTTTATTTTGGTGGTATTTATTCACCACTGGGATTTTTATTTTTTTTGCTATGTAAATGAAAAAGTCCAAAAATTTTGAAAAAAAAGTGTTTTTCTTATAAAATTTTGCAAATAAATAGTATTTCATCATAAATCTTGGCCACAATTTATTCCGTTATCTTTTTAGTAAAAACAAAAATAACCCAAATTAGTTTTTAAACATTTTTAAAAAATTTTTCACATTTTTAAAAAAGTTTTTATTATTATTTATGTTTTGTTTTTTTTTACATACTGTCACCCTAGCAGTACAGTGTCACCATGGTGACACTGTACTACTTGTGGTGGGTGGTGAAGATTTTTTTTTTTTTTTTACACCGATTGCTTTTACACCCATAAAGGCTGCAAAAGCAATCATTTCTCCTTCTCTCTAGCATTCTTGCAGCCATTGAGAACTACTGTGTGAGCTGAGATTGGTCACAGCTTGTCACATGGTACAAGGCTGCTGTGAATAGCCTTGTACCATGTGACCTCTGTGGTCATTCACAGATTTCACACATAGTAAGCAATGATGTCAGAAATGACATCTTGCTTACTACTTTGCATGTAATCACTGATTGGCGAATCAGTGATCACATGATCGGAACCTCGCACAGAGGTCCCGTCCGCCGGTCGGTGTTCCACTGTGTCCGGAGGACACAGCGGCACTGGATCTCGGTGCTGCGCGCTCCCAGGGAGCGTGCACAAGCAGGGTGTGGGAAGGCCGTTTATAAATGGCCACTCGACCCTGCACTGCCACTGTCCCGGCCGTTTATATACATGGGCCGGACGGGAGGTGGTTCACCTCCTCCCGCCCGCCATATAGTAATATGACGGACGCAAGGTGGTTCTCTTGTTCTGGGAGGACTTCATATGACGTCCTCCCATTCTAACCGCGCACGTGCGACTCCCCGAGCGCGCAGTGCGGCGATCGGTGGTGCGCTGTGTCCCTCAGACACAGCGTATCACCGATCCATGGAAAGAGCCGAAGATGTCGGCTTGGTCATGTGATCAGCTGTGTCCAATCACAGCTGATCACATGTAAACAGGGAAATGCCGTTTATCGGCATTTATCTCCCCACGAGCTGTCACGCTGACAGCTCGTGAGGAGAGCAGAGCCGGTAATCGGCATTCCTCGGAGGGGACATGTACACTGATCATCAGAGCACTGATGATCTGTGTAGCCCCAGCAGTGCCAACTGTCAGTGTCCATCAGTGCCAGCTGTCAGTGCTCATCCATGCCACCTGCCAGTGCCCATCAGTGACACATTTCAGTGCCCATCAGTGCCACATTTCAGTGCCCTTCAGTGCACATCAATGCCACATATCAGTGCCCATCTGAGCTTTGCCTTTCAGTGTCACCCGTCAGTGCCACCTATCAATGCCAGTCAGTGCCACCTATCAGTGCCAGTCAGTGCCGCCTATCAGTGTGCATCAGTGCTGCCTATCAGTGCCGGTCAGTGCTGCCTATCAGTGCCGCATAACAGTGCCGCCTATCAGTGCCATATATGAGTGCCGCCTTTCAGTGCCCATCAGTGCCACCTACCAGTGCCTCCTCATCAGTGCCCATCAGTGCCACCTATCAGTGTCCATTACTGCAGCCTCATTAGCGCACATCAGTGAAGGAGAAAAATCACTTACTTACAAAATTTTATAACAAAAACTAAGAAAAATTTTTTTTCAAAATTTTCTGTGGTTTTTGGTTTGTTTAAGAAAAAATAAAAAACCCAGAGGTGATTAAATACCACCAAAATAAAGCTCTGTCACAAACAAATGATAAAAGTTTCATATGAGTACAGTGTTGCATGACCACGCAATTGTCATTCAAAGTGCAACAGCGCTGAAAGCTGGAAATTGGCCTGGGCAGGAAGGGGGTATAAGTGCCCTGTAGGCTAGTGGTTAAGATAAAAAAAAACGGTTTGGCTTTAGAGTCACTTTACTGTTTTGAATATGAAATCGCCCACTAGTTTCTTAGAACTTTATATAGCTTCTAAATGACTATTGTATCCAGTGCCAAAATCAATATGTAACTTAATTTAGGGTCATATTTATGAAACAGGGCTGCACAGAAATGACACAGTGCATTTGTAATCTATAAATGTCAATCTTTTTAACAAGTGACATCTTTGTATATGTTTTAAGGTCGCCTTAAAAATCTCACAAAAATGTAAGGTAAACATTCTAGTTGTAGTCTATAAGGCTTATGAACACTTAAAAAGAGCTCCTCTTCCCCTTCTCATCCACTCCACTTTTGTTTTTAATTGACAGCCTGAGTCATGCAATTTATGAATAAAAGAAGAGAGCTCTTTGCCTTGCTGTGCCCACATCCTCACAGTTTCAAATATGCAAAGTCACCATGGCCTCACAAGTCAATACAGTTAAAAAAAAAAAGTAACAAAAAACATGCCTGCCGGTTCTAGCCTGACCAGAGATGAAAATACAAAACATCTCATCGGGCTTACCGTATATTGATAAAAAAAATAACTCTGTAATTGGTTGATGAGGATTTGGGAGTCGGGGCACATTTTCTTTCTGTACCTTAATATAGACAATATGTGACAAAGTAATTATATGGCACTGCTATAAAACCATGTTCTGTGAACGAGTGCCTACAAGTCCTTACAGCCTTAGCGGCTGTGAGCTTGTAGTTTTCAATGTCTGGAGAAAAAGAAATGTAATCTCCAAACACGGAAAGGTTTCTTCACAGTAAGAGCTGTGAAAATGTGAAATAGCCTCCCTCAAGAGTTGGTTCTGGCCAGCTCAGTGGATTGCTTTAAAAAAAGGCCTGGATTCTTTCTTACATACACAGAATATAACTGGATACTAACATTTATAGGTAAAGTTGATCCAGGGAATATCCGATTGCCTCTCGGGGGATCAGGAAGGAATTTTTTTTTTCCCTGTAAGGGATCAGTAATCTACTGATCGCTGGTGCAATGCTTTACAGGCTCCTGCAGACAAAAATAATAAATGCACATTTTTTTTACCTGCAAAAATTTTTTATATTTTTGTCCAAAAGGTGAACTTATCCTTTAACATATGCTTAAATTGTAGTGTGTTGTCATTTATTGTGATTAGAACCCCAACACACTATACGGTAGTTGTCATCGCACCCACTCTGCACATATCAAGCATTGTGTTGTGCTGCCTTGAAAATAAAGGATAATGGGTGTTTGTGGTATGTGGTGCATTAGCAACCCTTTCAAAATGTACAGGCTGCCTTAACACAACACACATTAACATACCTTAACCACTTGCCCTCTGGAAGATTTACCCCCCTTCATGACCAGGCCATTTTTTGAGATATGGCACAGCGTTACTTTACTGACAATTGCGTGGTCATGCAACGCTGTACCCAAATAAAATTGTCCAAATAGAGCTTTCTTTCAGTGGTATTTGATCACCACGTTTTTTTTTTTGCGCTATAAATAAAAAAAGGCCAACAATTTTGAAAAAAAAAAGAAAATTTTTACTTTGTGCTATAAAACATATCCAATAAAAATGTTTTTAAAAACACATTTCTTCATAAATTGAGGCCAATATGCATTCTGCTAAATATTTTTGGTAAAAAAATCCCAAAAAGCGTATATGTTGATTGGTTTGCGTAAAGGTTATAGCGTCAACAATGGCTGATGCATTTCGAGGGACAGTCCCCTCTTCATCAGAGCCAGGAAGAGGGGACTGTCCCTCAAAACGTGTTAGCCATCTGAGGGTCTTTTCGAGGGTTGGGAGTTGACCTGGTGACCTGGTCACTTTGAAGATTATTATGCCTTTGACACATAACAAAATATATACTCACAAACAGTTATTTTAATATAAATTTTATTCTCAGGTAATGCACTAGGCTGGTGTGCCCTTTCTTCCATTGTTTTTGCAGAACGGAGCTCTGCCTTGTTTACATAGGCACAGCTCCATTCTGTGTCTGTGCCTGATGATCGGTGGGTGCCGGTAGACATCTATTATGCCCGGCACCCGCAGTTCACATTTATTTGTGTGATTTTGCACAGGAGGGCTGCCATAGCCATATCTGCTATAGGGTGGTCCTTAAGTGGTTAAAGTGATACTAAACACACACTGTTTAATTTATATTACCAATTCTCTTTCTGCACGTGGATGATGGCACTGTATTTTAATTTTAAAAAAATCTAAGTACCTTTTTTCCTTATATACAGATATACAGCTGTTACATGACCCAGCTCTTTCCCAGCCTGTCTGCAGGGAAACAGTGGCAGGAGGAGCTTCCAGTCCTCTGCTGCTGGTCACATGTTCAAAGTAAAAAAAACAAACAAAAAAAAACAGCCTTTTGGATATAGAGAAAAAATAAATAATATCAATAAACTGTTTTAAATTGTCATACAAATATATATATGAAATTAAATATTTATATTTTGGCAATAACATGGTATGAGCAGTCCATCCTCCACAGTTACTAACTTTTGTACCACTAGCCCCTCCCTCCTAGATTGTAAACTCCTTTCCCTCTTGTATTGAACTGTATTGTTGCTGTATTGTCTTCCGTTATATTGTAAATCTTTGAGCAAACTGTTGGCGCTATATAAATTCTGTATAATAATAATAATAATGAACAGATTTCTGCTAGTCAAAGGCTGTGCCACGCCCTCCAGCCAATGTCTTAGAATAACAGGGAGGTGACTCCTCCATCAATCAAGATGCAATATCCCTCCCCTATGGTGTTTAGCTGTTTAGAGGGCATGGAGGAGGAGAGAGAGAGTGGGATGTCATTTAACATTGTGTGTACGCACACATGTGTGGCTCTGTAGTCACATGGGCTGCTCAGATGTGATGGGAAATACTCAGGGTAGAAATACACTGAAAGCTGAGCACGTGATAGCTGCCAGTGCTTCTCTGCAGACTCCCTAGCTGCAGGGGGACGTAGACTGAAGGAGGAGACAGAGAACAGCAGGATCAACCAGTTTTTTGCAGAATACAGGAAACAAATCCCAGAATGCGTATGAACAGCAGCCTTCACAAATCGCATGAAACTTGTCACCTGTCTGTGCTCCCATTATGTTTAAGGTTAGAAAGTTCACTTCTGGCTAGACCCTCTCAATTTCTTCCATGGTCCCTCAGTCAGTGTTAGTTCTACACAGAGATAGGGTGAAGAAAATGTATTTATTTATTACAGGTACTTATATAGCGCCATCAATTTATGCAGCGCTTTACATTTATATTGTACATTCACATCAGTCCCTAACCCTCAAGGGGCATACAATCTAAGAGCCCTAACTCACATTCATACAGACACATACTAGGGCCAATTTAGACAGGAGCCAATTCACCTACCAGCATGTCTTTGGAGTGTGGGAAGAAACCGGAGTACCCGGAGGAAACCCACGCAGGCACAGGAAGAACATGCAAACTCCAGGCAGGTGGTGCCATGGTTGGGATTTCAAACAACGACCCTAGTACTGCCAGGTGGAAGTGCTAACCATTTAGCCACTGTGCTGCTCATAAAATTTGCTGTCCTCTTACACTTCAAAAAACTGGAAAGACGTAATTTGTAATGCAATTACCTGAGATGAAATTACATTTGATTCAACGTCTGTCTCTTATAGGAGAGTTAAACTGCCTGTAGATGGTGCCAAATCAGGAGGTGACCACAATGTCTGGACAGACTGGATCCAAGGATGCTAGTGCAGAAAGCAGCACTTTTTAACCACATGCAGCCCAGCCACTGTATAAATACGGCGGCAGGGCGGCACGGCTGGGCAAAAGCACATTTTAAAACACGTGTTTTGTAAACAGGTAGGGGGCGCACGCGAGGCGCGCCGCCGCCCTACCTGTCCTGCCGATCACAGCCGCGGATGTCAGTCACCGGGTCACAGCCGGTCGTTACCAGGTATGTCCCGGCGATCGGCGGCAATCGCTGACAGAGAGCACAGCTGCAGTAGCTGTACTTTCTGTCAGTTCCCTGACAGCTCCAGGACACGCTGATCGGGACAGAAGAGTTTCTCTCTCCCGATCAGTGGTGTTCCCTGCAGTACACACCCCCCACCCCCTAGTAAAACACTCCCCGCACACAGTTAACCCTTTCACTGAATAATAAACTTAACCCCTTCCTCCCCAGTGCCATTAGTACAATGTCAGTGTTTTTTTTTTTTGCACTGATCACTGTATTGGTGTCACTTGGGATGTCAGTGACCCCAAGTCAGTACCCCCCAATGTCAGAATGTCCGCCGCAGTCCCGCCATAAGTCGCCGCCATAAGTCACTGATTGCCGCCATAAGTCGCTGATCGCCGCCATTATTAGTATAAAAAAAAAAACTAAAAAATCCCAGTATCTTTCCCGCCATTTGTAAACGCTATAACTTTCACGTAAACCAATTAATTTACACGTATTGGGGTTTTTTTTTTTAGCAAAGACATGTCACAGAATTCATTTTGGCAGAAATTTATGACTAAATTTGATTTTTAAATTTCTTTTTACTGGACATGTTTTATAGCAAAAAGTCCAAAATATTGTTTTTTTTCCTCAAAATTGTCAGCCTTTTTTTTTATAGCGCAAAAAATAAAAACC